CACACCTGTTCATCTGCACATGCTCTCTGCCCCATGCAAGAGTAAGGAACAGAGGGGAATTCAATCCCAAGAATTCAGATGCACTTGGCACTGTCCTCTTTTCAGCCCCAGCACTGCTCACTGCCCAGCACTGGCCACTCTGCTCCTGCAGTCTTAGATCACTAAGGTGTTCCTCTCTTTAAAGGAGAAAATAACACTTTCACAACGTAAAAAGTGGCCATTTTCTCGTTTGTTCAAACCACTGAGCCAAATTTCTGGCGGTCCTCTTCCCAGCTTTCTCTCTCCACAGTGTCAGTCATTCTCAGCCACCATGGCCCATAAATTTTACTACAGCAAACTGAGGTATCGAGAAGAAAAACCACGCTTCATATGCTTATTTTAATACCTTATTTTAATTATTGCATTGTTATTAACTCCTTATTATATCTACTTGTAAATTAAACTATCTCAGGTACTAATGATAGGGGAAAAAATGACCCATGACATGATAAAAGAATGAGCATTCCCAAGTAAAATGCAAAGCATGAAAATGAGAAGGAATAAAATTTCATACACACAACAAGATTAGTTGAAATGACAAACATGAACGATGAGAAAGTGATCAAATTCACAATGTTCACAATTAAATGCAAGACTTACAGGTCAGTATGGACATGTAGGAATTAAGCTTTGCGGGAATGGCATTTCACAACACTAGTAAAAAAAAGTCATTATTTTTGGGTTTTAGGGGAGAAGGCTGGGGCAGAATCTCACTATGTAAGTAGAGGCCACCCTGGAACCTCCTACAAAGACCAAGCTGGCCTCAAACTCATGCTTTAGTGCTCCAGTCTACAGTGTGCTACAATTAAAAGAACCAAAAGAGAGAGAGAGAGAGACAAGAAACACTATATCTGGTCTATTAATTATTAATCAGTAAAGGAACACTTAACTGTCACTTAAAATTTGTCACACCTCGCTGGGCACAGTGGCACTTGCCTGTAATCCCAGCACTCATGGAGGCAGAGGCAGATAGATCTCTGAGTTTGAGGCCAGTCTAGTCTACAAACTGAGTCTAGGACAGCCAAAGCTACACAGAGAAACCCTGTCTCAAAAAAATTCACAACTCTGTATCATATGCAAATTTCAATAAAATTACTGAAAAGCAATATAAAATATCAGAGGATATTTATGGCATATATGGGAGCTATTATATATGCATTTATGTATGTAAATATGTATGTATATGTACATATGCATATACACACGTGTGTATATACATACACACACAGGCAAAGACATGTGAAGATATAAAATCAGAACCTAAGAGTGGTGAAAAGAGATAAGAATTATAGGAAAAACAAAGCAAACACTTCCAACCAAATATACAATCACTAAAAAGATTATCAGTACTCAGCACGGGTGAAATTACACACAAAAAAGATGTTCTCCTGCTGCAGGCTTTAAGAGTCTGGCTTGGAAATGCAGCTCAGTGGAAAAGCAGAAGCCTAGCATGCATGAGACCTACTGAGAGCAGATCCTTCAAAGAAGTTATATAGCTATGCAAACTTGTTCCATTGTTCTGCCCATAGCAAATTACTATAATGAATGCAAAGATTAACAAAGGCAACATGACAACACCTCAAGAAGGAACAGCTTTTGTGTCGGAGCACAAATGCATGTGAAAGACACAGGTCACAGTCAAGGTATCTCCCTACACTGCTTCCACTTTAAGGATCTCTCACTGGACCTGGAACTCATATTCAGCTATCCAGACTGACTGGCAAGCCCTAGGGGCTCTGTCTCTGCCTCCTGGTACTGGGACCTTGGGTACACATCACCATGCCCATCATTTCCACAGGGGCTACAGATCCTAACACAGCTCTTCAGGCTTACCTAGAAAGCATTTTACTCAGTGAGCCATCTTTCCACCCCAGAATGAGCTTTAATAGCCAACATTCACACAATGCCTACTATCCTTTGTAGAGCAGGCTGGCATTAAACTCAGAGATCTGCCTGCCTCTGCCTCCTGAGTGCTGAGATAAGGGCATCAAGCACTTCATAAAAGCACATCCCCTTCCACAAACTACATTGTGGAAACTGAGCAATCAAGGATCTTATTGATATGAAAGAATTTCCATCTGTACATTGGTTCCTCTCCAAAAACATTAAATGAAAATGTCACTTTAAATCATGTTATAGTGGTAGACACAATCCCAGTGCTCCTGAGGCCACGGCAGGAAGCTTAAGATTCCAGACCAAATCAAATAGTATCACCTATCAGATCTACCTATCTACTTACTATCTATCTTTTCCTGCCCCATGTCAGACAACTGCTATGTGGCCCAAGCTGGTCTTAATCTCAGGATCTCCTTGCCTCAGCCTTACAAGTACTACACCTGATGATAGTTCTATTCTCTGTTACCTGATAACAGTCTATTATCTGTTTACTAACCAAAGTTAATAAAAAGGTGATTACCAAATATACCAAAACTGTTATGAACACTTCATGCTTTCACTGATATCAAATGCTTTAATAGTGGCTTTCTCAAGACATTACATAGTCACTTCTCAAAACTGATACTTTTGTTCCATTTTAACTGAGACTGCTAAGGACTGTGACTTAGAAAACCACAAACTTTCAATCCTCAGTCCTGCTTCATGGTGTTGATGCCAACTAATACAAAGCATGTCTAAATATCTGATTACTTCTCAATGACAATTTACAGTGAGTTCTTGCTATTTGAGTATCTTTAAAATATGATCATGAGCTGAGCATGGTGGCACACACCTTTAAAGCTAGCAGTCAGGAGGCACAGGAACAGGACAGCCAGGGTTACACAGAGAATCCCTGTGTTGAAAACCCCAAAAGATTTTTAAACAAAAAAATTATAATTGAGGTGGTTTCTTCAATATAAAATTCAATCATGTGGGCTGGAGAGTTGGCTCAGAGGTTAAGAGCGCTGGCTGTTCTTCCCAAAGTCCTGAGTTTGATTTCCAGAAACCACACCAGGGCTCACAGCCTATCTATATAATGAAATCTGGTGCCGCCTTCTGACCTGTATACATAATAAATACATCTTCTAAAAAATAAATAAATAAATAAATAAATAAATGAATAAATAGATAAATAAATAGATAAATAAGAAATAGCTGTGACTCAAAATAAAAAAAAAATGAAGAAAAAAAATCAGTCATGCTGAACAATAAACTTCCCTCTAAGACTTTATTTCAACCCAGTGATTAGATGGAAAGGGAAGGATTAGAAAGCTGGAGAAATAAGATTTGGCCACAGGGTATACTTCTTCCTGTAAGAATAGGAAGGCAGGATGGCTTTTGAAGTAGAATGCATTGATGCTGGAGGCACTGTCTGGCCTCTCCTAACAATCCAAAAGTGCTCTGTGAAAGCGTGGGAGCTACTTCATCTCCCTATGCCCTACACCCGTGACTATAAAGTGTGGATAATAACACACCCTGCTGTGTAGGACTGAATGAGGTGATTATGTGAAGTGCCTACAACAGTACCCCTGAGACATGGAAAATGGTAGCATTACCATCATCAGCACTGTGTATGACTATGAGCTAGAAAATTTAGCTAGAATGCACCAGCCAAAGGGGCGGGTGGGTGGTGATCTATTTTCTACAGTTGCGTGTCAAATATAAACGCTATTTTCAAAACCAATGGTAGTCAACATCAAAAGTGAGAAAGCAGGTATTAGGTAGATTAATAAAGCTTCGTGCTTCAATTTTCAAAAACATGAGACAATACAGGCTTTGGAGTTTGATGTTTATTTTTAGCTGGAAGAATATGCTATTGGTGATGGCATCAATAGAAGATACGCCGTGTCCAATATCTGCAACAGAAGCTCGACAGAAGTTAAAGAAACTGTACCAAAAGGCTGAAGACAAAAACTATTGACATACTCACCCTTAGTGCTGCAAACAGTGAAACAAGTAATGATACATTAGGATGAAAGGCCACTACAACATCACACACAGGTAAGTCAACTACCAAATTCATGTTCTAAGAAATTCCACTGCATCTTTTCCATTTCAATTGGGCAACCTCTTCCAGGACAGAGCATAGTGCCAATAAATGAGCAAGTTTATGTGAGCAGAGAGGGAGCAAACTGAAAAATGACAGTGCACAATAAGGAGTTGAGCACTTGGGGTAGAATAATCAAACAGCTCTCAGAACTGTAATAGCAGTATAAGCACCTCCTGGGGCTTACTGAGAAACTAATGCACCAAGAGCTAAATAATAAAAAACAGACTTAAGAGGCAGTACCATGATACACCTACAAATTTAGAATGAGCTGTCTTATAAATAAAAGGCAGGATAATCTTACATTGCATTGGAATTAAAACAGTTCAAGTAAGAACCAGTCAATCCAATAGTCTGTTTTCAAATAAAACCAAGCCCAGCTCTCCCATGCCAACAAGGTTCTCTGCTCAAGAATAAGGGGCTGCTTCTTTATTAGGTCCTGAGCCTCCAGACTTGTCACCAACTGTAACAACTATACCCGATCCATCAATTACCTTAGAAGAGCATGTGTAAGCCCAGAGAGAGTGCATGTTGGGGAATATGTTAAGTGTGAGAAACAACAATTGGAGAGGATAATTTGAATACTTAATGACAGACCTAAAAGAGGATACATGCTAAGATTAGGAATTCAATAAACCAAACCATTTATTGCCACTAACACAAGACTTCATTAGACTTGTTATTTTCCTATTATTTTTGTGCTTGAAGGGTTTAAATTTCTACTACTACATGGAATTTCACATAAATAATTTTAAAATATAACAAATTCTTCTAATACCAAAATTTCAGGTTTACTTAATCAGGATGCTGTGGTTCAAGTGCAGGGAAAAGCTCTTGATAGCAAGAAAAAGCTTACCTGGGCCACTGCCTAAAACAGTCCATAATGCAAGAACTTTTAAGATACTCAGACAAATTAAGGCATATGAAAATTAAATTAAATTAAATTAAATTGGCACTAAAGAAGGAAAAGGTTACGCACTTCCAATTTATGTTCTTTCTCTGCAAGGGCTTCCTTTTGACACCGAAGAAAATCTGCTAACATTCGGGTGAGTTGCTTTCTATCATCTATCTCTGCCGCCAGTCTGCCATTATAGTCTGCCAGCAGCATGCAAGCATCCTCTACCATTTTAGAAAGCCTCTCTCCAGATTCTTTATCTAAGAAAGGCAGAGAGTAACACAATTATTACCCGAGAAAATGACGACATGCTGCTCCCATACCCTGCCTCCCAAACAACATCTTGGATCTCACTTTCTGTTCTTACCTGTTATTTTCTCAAGCAGGGATACTTCTTGAACTTCAACAGGCAAAGAAGCGATCCTTTGATGGACTGCTGCGTCACCTGAGGCTGCATTTTCTAAATCTTGTAATGCTCTAACAAGGTCGAGAGTCTAAAAAATTATATAACTTCAGAACCAAAAAAAATAAAGCTCTAACAATATAAAGGATTTGACACCTCTTTCATATTCCTAATCCTTATGAAGTATTCACCACCAAGAAGTCCGCAATAATTTAACACTTCTTAAGGCAACCTTTTTAAAAGTAACATTTTAGACTAATGTTTTTCATGTGTTTTGTCTCCATGTGTATCTATTTGTGCAACAAGATCATGCCTGGTGGCCCCAGAGACCAGAAAAGTATGCCAGATGCCCTGAAACTGGATTACAGATTTTGTGAGCTACCTAATGAGTGCTGAGACTAACTCAGCTTAACTGAGGTTAACAGCAGCAGTGTTTTTTAACCGACAAGCCACCTCTCCTGGGCCCCATCCTTTTTGATATTTTAAGTAAAGAAACTAGCCCGGTGATGCTAGTACGCGCTTTAAATTCCAGTAGTTAGGGGGCTACTTTAACTGGTGGTTCTCCGTGAGTTAGAGGCAGCCAGGGTTACACACAAACCCTATCTCAAAAGACAAAGATAATAAAATCTTTCAAACCCCCCCCCTTTTACACACAAACACACACACACACAAACATACACACAGCATACTACTTCAAAGAAAAGCAATTTGTTAACCAGAAAAGAGATTAATTTCGTGCCTTTCTTGTATCCAGAACACTGAATGTGTCAAAGCCCAAAGGTCACAGACTAAAAATCCCAGAGCTGTCTTGAGTTTTTACCTGTGGTGGTTCACTTGGGGACCCTAAAGAGGAACAATTTTCATTCTCATCCACCTTTATTTGCTCGTAAGTCCTCTTCCTCGTCTTCTTATCTCCATCTGATTTTAAAAACATGAAGTTTTAATGAGCTTTTTTCCTGAGAGGATCACACAATGAGATCAAGAGCCTATACTTACACAGGGCATGCTTAAGTTGCTCTAATACATCATTTTCATAAACAGATCGTTCTTCCCAAATAGATAACACTCTCCCAAGGTGCTTCTTGCAACTTTCATCAGTTTCACTAAATTAAAAAAAAAAAAACAAAAACAAAAACAAAAACAATTAAAATACTAACAGTAAAACTGCACAGTGAGTGCCACCACAAAGTAATGGTATTTAAAACAGGACCAAAAACTAGCTCCTAACGGGCATTCTCAGGCGGGATGTGACTGCAACACTGCCCTCACTTCACTCAGTAACACATCAAAATGGTCTTGTCAGTTTTAGGAGCAGACACTAGGACTTTACAAAGACAATGTTCCCAAGTGAAAGGAGCTAAAATACAGTTCCAGTACACTTTTAAATTGTACCGAACCCACCAACATCTCTGTCATGGAAATCAAATGGAGCTTGATTACAGCACCTCTAGTTCATAAGCACTATGAATGAGAACGTGGTGCTACAAACAGCACCCTGAGAGATGCAGCCCAGTTAGAGACCAGGAGGATCTGAACAGTAAGAGCAAATCTGAATACTGGCCTTAAGGAAAATAGGACATAGGTGACTTTCAACCATTTGCCATTTCCTTCAGCACTACCTCACCTGGGTTTTGCATTTGTCTCACGAACTCAGGGTTGAGTACAATCCTGAGACCCACATTATAGGAAACAAACAAACAAACTCTAATCTCCATCTGTGTGCACTGCTACATGTGCACACACAAAAAAATAAATGAATGAAACAGAAACATTTTAGAGTGCATAAACTAAAAGATTTCCACACACAAAATTACCTCAAGCAAACTGATACTCCAACCAAGGACCATTCATGGAGATAACCTAGAACCCCTGCACAGATGTAGCCCATGGCAGCTTAGTCTCCAACTGGGTTCTCTAGTAATTGGAACAAGAACTGTCTCTGACATGAACTCAGTGGCTGGCTCTTTGATCACCTTCCCCTGAGGGGGGAGCAGCCTTACCAGGCCACAGAAGAAGACTTCGCAGACAGTCCTGATGAGACCTGATAGGCAAGGGTCAGAGGGAAGGGGAGGAGGAGCTCACCTATCAGTGGACTAGGGGATGGGTATGGGAGGAGAAGAGGGAGGGAGGGTGGAATTGGGAGGGGACAAGGAAGGGAGCTTCAGCTGGGATACAAAGTGAATAAATTGTAATAAATAAATAAAAATGCACAGAAAAAAATTACCTGAAAATCTTTTGAAAAGTTTATGATTATTTTAAATATTCTTTATACTACCCCCTCGATCCCCAGAGAAGGTTTTTCTATGTAACAGCCTTGGCTGTCCTGGACTCACTTTGTAAACCAGGCTGGCCCTGAACTCAAGAGATTTGCCTGCCTTTGCCTCCTGAGTGCTAGGATCAAAGGTGTGAACCACCTAGGCGGGCTCAATATTCTTAATTTCTAAAGCACTTTAAAATGTTAAGAAATATATACACACACTAGAAAACAAAACAAAAAATATTGTGATATTAAGTAAGTCCAGAATATCAGACATAAGATGGAGTTCTACAAGCATACATTTCAGTTCAGTTCCTAGTTTACTCTCAGTGATGTTAATCCCAGCAGGATACAGCAGGACTTCTGATCCCTTACAGGAAAGCTGTAATTCATGTACTCCAAATGCCTCAGCAGCAGCTCAAATCCTCACAGAAAGCAAAAACATCACATATGGCATGAAAGCTTCAAATAAACACATCCTGTTTATTTTGCTGATTCTAAACCTTACCTCATATACAGAAAGGATCCTACCTTGAAACATGCTTGAATGCCTCCACTATGACTGGTGCAAAATCTTTTGTGAACTCTGGTCCCTTCCTTTTGCTGTTCTGAATGACATCATTGGCCAGGTAGAGAAAAGTAAGCTTCCTGTTGGGTTTGGCTAAAAAATTAGAAAAGAAAAAAAAAAATTAAGATACTAAAACTATGGGACTCTGCTGGGGAAAGTCTGCCATTTCAGATAGCCTCTGAGCTCTGTCAATAACTGTCAACTCCCTTTCTCAGGATGGTGCCCTCTCTATATGAACCCTAAAACCTGTAAGGAGCATCACATAACCCTCAGTGAAGATTACAGGCCCTTTCCTGATAAGAAACCTGTTCAGCAAGCTTGTGAGGACTCCAGGAAATACCCCACCCTATGCTAAAGAGATCCTAGCTTTCAGCAAAATGACCTTCAATTGTACCTGGAGATTTTCCCCCACCTATAGGATAATTAAATACTATGTTTTCCTTGTGATAAAACCATACCACTACATGTAAATCCAGTGTTCCCTTGTACCTCTAGCCCCATGGAATCAAAGAAATTCGCCCTCAAAAGTTTATAAATCCCTGATTTCACATGAAATAAAGGTGCTGGGTATTACCATCAGCTTTCCACCACAGCCCTGGAAATTTGCCTCTTAACTCCTAGCAGCACAGCCATTTAAGTACTCTCCAGACCTGGACCCATCTTCCTGACAGCTGGGCCTGAACCTTGCCAGGCCTGTTTCCAGCTGCCATCCAAAGAGGCATCTCTGCTGTTAATACAGCAGCTTAGCCAAAGGGCTATGCCACTCATCTGATAAGACAATCTCATTTGGAAGAGCTGACTGTAACACCTAGTGGAAAACTCACTTCCACCCCCACCTCCCTACCCCACTTTTCAGTTCACACCTATAACAGCCTTCTCACACTACACAATAAAACACAAAGTGAGGGATAGTTAGGCTCTAAGTTGAGCCATGACATTCTTAAGCTGCCTGCTCATGTTGCTACCAGCTCCTCCTGCTTTTAAAAGTTGCTGGTGTGGAACAATGTAAAAAATCTAATAATCACCAGTATCTAGTTCACTGAGTTTTTCACTGAGTTTTGTCTGGTTACATTAAGTGAAGACATCAAGACCCTCTTGAGAAAAGGGTTATAAGGTATTCTCTTTTTACTTATGGGCACCCTCTCAATCATACCCGGAAAAACCAATAGTTATCAAGTTTTCACTTTGTCTCCCATCAAATGATTAAGATTTTATTTTAGTAATGTGTGTATATGCATTCTATCTGTGAGAGGGTATGTGACCTTATGTGCATGCCTGTAGAGGTCAGATTCCCTGGAGCTGGACTGGTTATGAGCTGCCCCATGTGGGAGCTGGGAAATGAACTTAGGTCCCACTGAGAGAGCAGTCAATCTTCCTAACCACTGAGCCATCTCTCCAGCCCAATTTGACAGTGTTTCTCTATGTAGTCTTGGCTGTGCTGGATTTTGTTATGCAGGCCAGGCTAACCTCAAACTCAGTGTGCTTCTTGCTTCTGCTTCCTAAAGACATGCACCACCATGTCCAGCCTCCATCAAATTATATATATATGTTTGTTTGTTTTTCAAGACACAATTTCTCTGTGTAGCCTTGGCTGTCCTGGACTCACTTTGTAGACCAGGCTTGCCTCGAACTCACAGAGATCCGCCTGCCTCTGCCTTCCAGACTGCTGGGATTACAGGCTTGTGACATTGTACCAGCTCCATCAGATAATTTTTAAAACCGTTTGTTTTTTTTTCTAATCTAAATAAGAGATTGCCTGCGGTACTTTTTAATAAGAGCTAATAGAGGGGCTCCTTTCTTAGTTACATCATTTTTTTTAACTTTTATTATATGCTACACACTACACTAAGCAATGTGTATGTGTATATATACGCATATATACATATATACATAATTTAACCCAAATAATGTAAAAAATTATTATAGCTATTTGGTAATTGAGCAAAGAAATATCAAAAAGGCAATTTATCCATAGTAAAAGAGGTAGGCTTGAGGTCAGCCAAGATCCAACATCCTACATGTTCACCAATGGATAAAATGTGCTGTTCAGCTGGGCATGTGGCACACACCTTTAATCCCAGCACTCAGGGAGGCAGAGGTCAGCAGATCTCTGTGAGTTTTAAGCCAGCCTGGTCTACAAAGTAAATTCTAAGACAGCCATGACTCTGTTACACAGAGAAAACAACAACAACAAAAGTGATGTTTACCGCCCTTCTGAAAGCTATTCAGCCTGACCCCCCCAAAAAAAAAAAACTGACAGTCTACAACATAGACACCAAGTAGAAGAATCCAGCCACTAAAAAATAATCAAATCACTGTTCTTGTCCGCCTTATGTGTAATACCCAAAAAGAAATCACAGAGCCAGACCACAGGAAGGTGCTGATGAAAAAGTTCAGAAGCAGAGGATATTGTTTAATATATATCAAAACATTCCAGCTTTGCAAGATGACATTTCTAAGGACTGGGAATATAGCTCCATGGAAGAACACTTACTTGGTATGCATGAGACCTTGAAGGGAGACAGGCAGAGAGAGAAAGGTAGAGGGAGAAAAAAAGGAAGAAAGGAAAGAGAGACAAAAGACAGGCAGGCAGGCGGGCAGGCAGACAAAATGAATTGGATGAATAACCATGAACAAGAATTCCTAGGAAGAAAGTGTGTCTACAAAGCAGTGCTATGGGGAGGTTGGAATGTTGCAGGCCCAGAACCTAAGTTATCTTCAATTCCCTAAACAGCCATTCTCATCCACCTCTGTGCCAGACCTAATATCCTGTGGCTAACAGACAAGAATCCCTTGAAATGTATGATTCCCCTAGTTTTCAACAATTAAAGAGCTAAGAAGTCAGGCATGGTTGAGCATGCTTTAGTCTCAGCACTTAGGAGGCAGAGGGCAGGAGGATCTAAGTGAGTTCTAGGCCAGCCTGGTCTCCAAAGCCAGTTCCAAGACAGCCAGGACTACACAGAGACACCCTGTCTCCAAAATCCAAACAAACAAACAAATAAAATAAAACAGCTAAGAATAATGTCAGTTCTATCAGGCAGCATCAAAGGCCTGTAGCGCATTTCTCCCCATTTTGCACCAATCTGCTTACCGATGTACTAACCAAGGTATTTGAGAAGTATCTCAATTTTATAGTTTTCTGTGTTCTGGAAAGCTGCCTAGGCCTAGGCATGGTAGTACATGCATTTATGTACCACACTCAAGAAGGCAGAAGCAAGCAAATCTCCAAGTTTCAGGCCATCCTTGTCTGTGTAATGAGATCCAATCTCAACAAACAGAAAAACAAATGTGCTGAGGAGGCAGGCACAAGGAGATCCCTGGGGCTTGCTGACCAGCTTGGATTGGTTAGGTCCTGACTGCAAAGCACTATTTTCAATTTTTCCTCTTGTGGAACCAAGGTTAAAATACAAGAAATTTTGAGTATTTCCTATAATGCCGGATGTGATAGCACATACATTTAATCCTAGCACTGTGGAGGCAGAGGCAGGCAGCTCTTTCAAGGCCAGCCTAGTTTACAGCCAAAGTTAGTTCCAGGAGAGCCAAGGCTGTTACACAGAAAAACCTTGTCTCGGGACGACAACAACAAGAAAAAAAAAAAAAAAAAAAAAAAAAAAAAGAGGGGAGGAAAAAAAAAAAAAAAAAAAAAAAAAAAAAAAAAAGGAAAGAGGGAAGGAGGAAGGGGAAGAGAGAGAGAATGAATAATGCAATGCCAGGAGTAAAATTGCAAAAATGATTTACAAATAAATTCAGACAGTTTTTTAAAATAACAGCCATTCATACTTTCATACAGGCCTGTAATAGCAGGCAGCTGGGAGGCAGCTGCAAATAGACTGGGAGTTCTAAGCCAGCCTATGATGCAGAGTAAGACTGTCTCAAAATCCAAAACACAAAACAAAAAAGCTAGGGATGTGGCTCAGTAGTAGAGTACTTTCCAAGCATGCATTAAGATCTGGATTTCCACCTCAAATTCCTAATTCCCTAAAGAAACAATCTGTCTAGTGAGTCTGACCTGGTCAGTTCCTACGCTTCTGCTGTTCACAAGATTCCCTAGTTTGCACATCTTCCATTCATTTAAACAGTTTCTATTCGATGTTTGCTTTGTGCCATGGATCATAACTGGCACAAAACAAAAACCATTTTGTCTACCCTTTTCATGGGTTAGAAATTTTTTCAAGCTCCTCAAATACTGGCAGATTATAAACCCAACACAATTTAGTGTTGGGTTATAATAAAATGCATGTTCCTTTTTCCTTCATTTCTTCTCTCCATAAATACAGTAACACCAACATAAAAGGATTCATGAACATTATAGCCCACTGTGTCTGGGTACCTTGCTGTATTTTATCAATAAAACATAAGCCACGTAAGCGCCACTCAATGTTCATATAATGAAATATGATCGCTGTACGTCCCACTCCCTGAGATAAGTCTTATGGTGCTCTGGGTATAGAGATATAAATTCTTCCTAGAGCCTGTATATCAACATACGCACTTGGACGCTCCGGGGGTGGGGGGTGCACACTTTAGGTCTTACAGAAAGAGATGAGGAGAAAAGTCATTATTTTGTAACAACTATCTATTACAAAGAAAGGTTTGCCACAGCCACGCTTGGTAATCCTACACTAAACTCAGAAGGCTGAGGCAGGAGGATCACAACTATGAGGTCAGTGTGGTTATGTTATGGGACCTAATCTTTAAAAAAAAAAAATTCTGTATTGGGTTGCATGACAGGTCAACAGGTAATGACAATTGTTGACAAGCCTGACTACCTGAGTTTGATCCCCAGGGCCCACGTAGTAAAGGGGAGAGTTGACCTCTGTACGTTGTCCATGGCCCTCCACAGGTGGGGTCTGGCCAGTAAATATATGTAGTAATGTTTTCAAAAGCTCTATTAAGCCAAATGTGGTAGTGCTGACCTATAACCCTAGTTGTTGGAGAATACACAGCAGGATGATCTGGAACTCAAGATCTGTCCACTAAACAGTAAGTGTGAGACCAACCTGCGCTCAAAAAAAAAAAACAAAAAAAAACAAAAAAACACACAGAACATATAATTTTTAGTACAATTTAATTATGTTTTCTGAATGAAATTT